TTACAGAAAGGCGCCAGAGGGACTCCTAAGATCGTCCATGTGGATCGCCTGGCGCGTTATTATGGGCCGATAATGCTCAGGACGAGCATGTCTTAGGAGGAGGCAGTGTTGCGCGGCTAAGTTGACATCTGGCACTAACGCCATCTAGTGTCGGGTAACAGAGCGAGGAGAGAGCTTTCCAGAAAATGACATCACTAATCTTTCAACCGACAGCGCCATCTGTTGTCGAAACGAAGAACTAAGCTTCTAGAAGCCCGACACTCGAACTTTCGATGCTTAGTCGATTGGCGCGCGTATTTACTTGAATGTTCTGGATTTTTCGGTGCTAAGGTGTATTTATAGGCGCTGCAAGGTGCGATGGAGGAAGTATTGAATTTGGCGAGACAAGCGAAGCTTCGGAGCGGAATAAAGTGAATCAGTGTGATTAATTATTAGTGTTTTAAGTTTAAATTTGTGTAAAGAAAATTAAATTGTTAATTTAGGTAATTTTATCGGCAATTTTTATTGTCACGAACCTCAAGCTCGTAACATATATATAATAATTTTCTGTACGTCTTTGTTATTTAACTTCTAACGGTTGTATCAATTCTAATGAAATGTTTTGTGTGTTTGAGTGAGTCCCTAGATGGTTCAGATTCACGATTGGACCCGGTATTGCATTGGTTGAAATCCAAAAATGGTCCGTGCGAAACTTACGTGATGATACTATAGCTGATATAAATATTATTAGAGTTTTAAAACAAACTTAAACTTAAACAACCCTCCTTTCTTACAGAATAAAGGCAACAAACGAGCATACAGCCCACCTGACGGTAAGTAGATCAGACTCTTATATTAAACATTAAAAATTAATTAGCTAAGATGATGATAGAAACAGAAACCGAAACTTTTTTATTCAATATAGAATATAAACAATACTTATTGAAAGTCACTTTTTTCATTTACCACTAGTTCGCAAAAAATAAATCTCTTCATTGGGAAGAACCCCAGTTTTATACGTGATAGAGCCATGCTGCAATTATATTAGTAGTATAGTTGCAGCACGAATGGGTCGGCTCGACCGGGGAAGGACCACGGACCAGTCTCACAGAATACCGGCGTCAAATAGTAGCTTAATGCTGCTGTTTCGTATGAAGAGTGTAGAGAACCGGAATACCCTTTTTACCGGAAACGAGGCATTCAATCTTAGTCCTCTGGGGTGACAACGCATCTGCATTTTGATTTGTAATAGAGAATAGATGTAGATGTCTATGGGCCACAGCACAGCGGAACTATTTTTTTTTTCAAATAACAGTTTACAATCATGTATGTTACATTTAACAACACAAAACAAATTAGAAATAGCTTAGTAGCGATCACCCTTCCCAGAGGTTATTATCATCCATAAATTCCTTAATATTATAATTACTCTTTTTATACAAACTTAGTTTAATATAGTTTTTGAACTGGTCAAATTTTGAATATTTTCTGGGATTTTGTTGTAAAAGCGTATACATCGCCCCTAGAATGAATTACACTCGGTGGAGTCGAGTATTTACCGAAAGAATATCACTTATTCTTCTATCATCGCCATCACTACCAACACCACTACACTGGGAAACACACCATCGTCGATAGTACGACACGTGTTTCGCCTCTAAATGAGGCGGGCCTTCGGGCGAAGCAAATTAATTTTTACTATTTCCAACCCACCTGCGGAGCGTGGCACATATCTACCTTATGAGGCAATGTGTTAGGGAGGCCTGTGTTCAGGCAGTGGCTTTTGACAGACCGTAAATAATGATTTACGAATAAATCTTGTACGTGGCAGAGCCACGCTGTTATGGCAGATCCAGAATTATTATGGTTGCAGCACGAATGGGTCGGCTCGACCGGGGAAGGACCACGCCTCCACAGAATACCAGCGTAAAATAGCAGCTTAATGTTGCTGTGTTTCGTAAGCTGAATGTAGAGAACCAAAGACCCTTTTCACTGGAAACGAGGCATTTCATCTTAATCCTCAACGGTGACATCGCACCTGCATTTTGATTCTTAATCGAGGATGTCTATGGGCCACCGCATTGACTTACCATCAGTTGGACTGTGTGCTCGTTCATCACCCTTATTCTATAAAAATACCACAATGTATTGAAGTAAAAACTACATTTTGTACTGTTGTGTGTGTAGGCTTCCGTGGCCAGACAGCGCCTGACTGGCACCAGCAAGGTTGGTGACTCGCACACACTAAATTACATTTTATTCAGTTAATGTTACTTATATTTTATGTTTTCTCTCTTTTAGTATTTAATATTACGGATCTATATATAATTGGTTGTTATATGCTAGATGTAAGATAAATGTATGTTTCGCTTCGATTTGGTTTGCCCTCACAACTTGCTATTTTGTGACTAGCTAGATTGTTTTATTTTTTTTTTAATTAAAAAAGAACTTTAATGGAAACTGAATGAGGTATTTAAACATAGAGTCTATACGATTTTAGTCGAGAAAAAAAGAAAAAGTTAACAGATGTACGGGCATAAGAACTTAGGAATTGCAGACATTCGTTTAAAAATCACAACTTAATTTAACATACTTTGTGACACTAGCGTGACTGTTCTATTTTCCTTTACTGTATTATTATTATTTTTTTAAATTTTAATGGATAAAACGAAAAAGTTTACAAATGTTTGGACGTCAGAACTAACACACTTGTTTTCATATTATGAAAACAATAAAATCGTGCTCTATGGAGCTAGAACGGTGAGAAATATTTATATTTGGACTTATCGTACCCATCACTGAGGGCTGATCATTTTATGCTCACTAAGCTACTTGTGTGTGAGGTGAACTAATTAGTTATACAATGTCATTATTATTGAGAAATGCGTTTTAAATAAAAGTTTATTGGTTTCTAGAGTCTGTAAGTATACAAAACAATGCCTCAGTATTATTATTTTTCTACTTTATCATTCATGCTACAAACATAATAAAGCTGAAGCGTGGCTCTACCACGTATAAGATTGCTTGTATTCGTTATAAAAAAAACATGCGTGCAGCTCACACGCGACAGAAGTGAAACCTTCGAATGAAATGAAATATAAAATACAAATACTTTAAATGATTTATTTGATTTAAACTACTATTTCGGCATAAAATATAAGAAAATATAATTTTATGGTAAATAAATGTAACGATCCTTATAATTTATATATCTATTAGACAGATATTATATTATTCTTTTCGATATACCTTATATAGTACTCACTAATTACGAAAAAATTTATATCAATTTCACTTATTACAAAGTTGAGGTTTGGTCGTTCTTCACTGCTTGTTTAATCTATAAGCAGACGACACCTTTGTACCACAGTTCGTACCTTGTTGAACAAAACGCGTAAGCGACGCCGTTTCGGCGGCGTTTACGATTTTTTTCTCGCGAACATTGAGCTATAATCTATAATGCTTCCTATCTCATTTTCTCCCACGTTAAATCTTATGAATTTATATGTCTGTCCCTTTTTACTGTCGCTTTTTCGTTTCATCCAGTTTCAAATCACAACGATGCTAAAGAAGTTTTCATTTCAAAAGTGCTGTTACATTGTCCCGTTAAGATTCTTTCAACGATGTTATCTCCTTTAAACGATTTTATCCGAAGATCTCTTGTCTCTATAATTATCCCCACGTTTTAAGAGCCTATAGTGGAATATAAAGAGACGATTGCAAGATACCCGACGGTGTGACTTTGGTTTCTTGGGATGTAAAGCCCTAGTGTGGGGTGCTCCATGCCTAGACACTTGGCAGATTCTCATCTCAGGGTTGCCTCGGCATCAGAGGCAGCTGGTTTAAGTAAGTGGCGCAAATATGAGTCTCTGAGAAATGACTGCATATTTGTGTTATTTGCTATGGAGACTCTCGGTCCGTGGGGTCCACGTGCGGTTTCAAAGTTTCAGAGGAACTGTATGCGCGACTGATCGTCGCTGCTGGTGATAAGAGAGCTGGTTCTTTTCCCACTCAAAGACTTAGTACGGCGAGAGAACGCAGCCAGTGTTCTTGGCTTGGCGTGGTTCTATACCGCGGGGAGTAGGGTTGCATGATATTTTTTTATGTTTGATTTTGTTATTATAGTTTTAGAACATTTTATATGTTTGAATGTTACGTAAATAAATTAATGTTTGTCTTTTAGTTCATAAATAGTTTCATGTAGTCTGTATTAGTGCATTATTCACAAACTAAGAATTTACAAAGTTTTCAAATGGTGGTTCCAAAAATAGGAAATTAAGTTTCATAGTCCATATACAGCGTGGAACAAAAACCCGTATTTAAACCTATAGAAATAACTACTACAGAAAACACGAACGTAAAAAATTTAATTAAATTATTTTTTTTTGTAAATTGTATGTGGTTTTCAACTGACTTCAAAAAAAGGAGTAGGGTTCTCAATTCGACTGTATTTTTTTTTCGTGTGTCACCTCAGAACTTTTTTCTCGATAAAGGATTTTGATGAAAGCTGGTGATTCTCGTGTGATTCCATATAAATTTGATCAAGATCTGACGTGTAGTTTTTGAGTTTCCTTAACACTGTGTATTTAATTGACTTCGACTATATTGATGATGTTCTCATTTTATTTATATTGAAGTCGGTTGTACAAAATTTTTAATTTTACCGCTTGTAGTACCTCTAATTGACACGCGCTTTGACAATACTATTTCTTCCCATTATAATTATAATTGGCATATAAAAACTTATTTAAATTTAATTTGATTTTTTTGTGGTCATGCTTTCTGAAGTAAGTTTATTTTTATATGTTTGAATACAGAATATCATAACGCATTGAAAGAGAACCACAAGATTTTTGCTACATGTATAACACGACATATAAATATTTGTACAAGGCAGACCATTTCTACCGTCACTCGTGATAAAATTTATTCATTTTCCTGCAAAAATGCATGGAATATTATTAGTAAAGCCATTAAACGTTGTTAGGACATTACTAAAGTTGTTTTACTGTCTTTTACAGCGATGCCGCCGTCCTACGATCAAGCTGTGGGCAAGGGTTAAGGTGAGGTTCTTCGCTATTGTATCCCTGCTAAGTCACAAGAGTTCTGGATCAAAAACTGCATCGGATCTAGGTCACAAATTGGTCTAGTTCTAGACTACAACTAATAAAGTTTTAGACGGCAGACTCAGTCTAACTTAGATTACTCACTAAACAAATTTAAGTATTGCTTGGCGGGTTCTAAGCGAGTTCTAAGCGAGTTTAGGCAACTTTTACTATCAATTTCAAAAATGCAAACGACCGTGGTGAGGTATATGAAATAGTGTAAAGTAGATCTCAGCTTAAAAGGTAGATAATTTACTTTTTTTTATTTTTACTACCAAAGATTTCTTTGTATACTATTGGACCGGAAATGTATACTACAATTAAGAACAAAATCTGGCACTTCCGTTTACGACAGTTATAGTTTTTAGAAATAAACTTCAAAACGCGTTGACAAAGTGCGCACATACTACTTGTTCATTCCAAGAATGCCGTTACCTCCCGCCGCACTCCCTCACTCCGCGCCTCAAGCGTCGCCCTTTAAGTACCGATAGCAGCACCTTCGTAATATCTTACGTATTTGAAATATTTTAAATGTAAAATAAAACTATAAAAATTTTAATTATATTATTTTATAATTGTATCGGACACATTACTATTCACTGTTATTATTTCACTTTACTAAATAAATTATTTTATAATATGCATTTTATCTAGTTGTTTGCTCTCAATTTCTGTGTACAGGACAACAAACTACTTACTTAGTTTTGCTCAATTTGCCAAAAAATAGTCGTTATCATGTTTATGTGATAATATAGATAAACATGGTAACTTTTTTCTCTACGGTACCGTCAGCTGTGATATCATAACGGTCGACGACGGCGCAAACTTGAAATAAACGCGTAGTAAATAAACTCAGAATTAGTATTAGATTGTCGAAAACAACGTTCGCGATTTGCAAAACAAACAACTAGTCTTCTAGGTCGCTCGCAGTCGACTAAACGAGTTACGGAGAATTAACCGTAACTTAGTGCGCAATGTATTAGTACCGTAATGCCCGCCTAGTAGTATACATTGAAGTATTTGTACTCTACATCTTACCTGAAATGAATCTTCCATTCTTACCTAAAATATATAACTGCTCCATTTATTGTTTCTGTGCAATTCAAGTACGGAACTCAATACGTTGACTCAAGTGTAGTTAGGTCTATCAAAAGGTTTACAGTAATCTAGATAAATATATATGAATTAGCAAAGTCTAACAGTTAGTTGCTACTATTAATAATAAAGTCAGGTCGCGGAGACTAGATAAAGAATGTAAATAAACTTTGGGGGTGGGGGGTGGAAAAAGAAGTCCCAAAACAGTAGCCCATATTTAAGCGCACCTCCGCCAACTGTTTTCAATACTATGTAATTTATTTTTATTTATTTATCATGAAGTAACAAATAACATCATAAGATAAAGCAAAAAGCATAGAAATTACCACCTCACTATAAAATTACTTACATATGTGAGTAAAGAGCTTCTACAAATCTATATTTAAATGAGGTAGACAGTAAACAATTTCAATTTTGAATAATAGTGCTACAAAAAAGTTAATGTTCTACCCTTCGTAGTAATTACACTATATGACAATACTAATTAAAGACGGCTAATAAGAGTAAAGTATTTGAGAAGTTAGTTTTGAATAAGTGTTTAATACTTTCTATAGCATTAACTTAATACATAAAACAATGTCTCAGTGGTTTGCTCTTTGATTTGTTGCTCATTTCTTACAATATGAAAATATTGTAAATATGACCAACAAACTTGTAGGATTTTCTACTTGTAGGAATATTCTTAGTTTGTCTTATTCATTTATAGTCTAATTAATATGAAATATAACTAACATTACAGAAAGAAACATTATCTCTTACATTTTCTTAAGAAATTAACACCGTAGCCATGTAATTTGTCAATTATTTCACCTCGTTTGTAAGTAGAGCTTGTCTAAACTGAAATGACGCGCCCCACTACTTAATTAGTTGATTTCGATGTGTGAGTGTAAATATTAATAACGACGCTTCATCTGTGTTTGAGCGTCGACTGCTCCGCGAACTATGATCTGTATGCCTACGTGACGGTCGACTAGTCGCGTGATAAATCCGACAACGCTCTCCTTAGGGAGCAGCGTTGGGGCATTGTATGAAACAAAACGTCCGCTCTCTGCCATAGACTAATATATAATACTGGAGATAGACTGGCAACCAGCGTGACCAGATTTCATATGACGAATCTACTGCTTGTGGAGGTTAAAATCTACTGAATTCTACCAAAACAGAACGAGAAAATACTAAAAATCTATTTATTTTTTGCTGTCGTGTTACAACGTAAAAACATGATTTTTTTTTAGATTAAACGATAAAATAATAAAATAACAAACAACCATTAATTAAAGAAACTAACGTTTTTTTAAACTTAAATTCTAAATAAAAATATAATTTAAAAAAAAAGAATAAAATGAAACTTAAAGTTAAGATTCTTCATCATTTTTTTGTTGGGTTACATTGTCATAAAGCTGTTTTGAGTCCATTAACTTGATCATACTTCTGTCAGGATTCCTATCAGAGTTCGAAATTCACCATACACCGCTTTTTGGGGATCGATGAATGACAAATCCTGCAAAAAATTATCTTGTACAGGGCAGTCTTTGCAGAAATTGGTTACTCAGCTCGATCAAAAATGATTGACATCTGTTAAGGAATTCCTCAATTTTAGATCTCATTCGGATATCATCTTTTAACGATTCCAATGTCATCGCTACGTTTGTGCCCAGGTACATGTTTTGTATAGGAAGGAAATGCATTCTTGAACTTGGATCTATTGACTGAAGTGGAGTAGTTTTTATATAATTTATCTTCATAAAACAACTCAAAATTGAACTCATCATGTTTTGTATGTCTGTTCCAATTTTATGAATAAGTGTCTGATCACTTTGAAAAATAACGTTAAATTTTGTAGTTATGGGTAATATAAAATCTAAAAAGTAAAGATAAAGTTTTGTCTCATCGCTGTTAAGGTGATCAAATATAAATTGACAAGTAGCATTGGCATTCTTATTCCCTAAAAACTCATTTTGAAAAAAAAAAGTTTTAATGCTGACCACTGCTCTATAATTCGGTGAATGCATTGATGTAGAGAAAGCCACCTGATATCATAATGACGAAGCATATGGTGAGTTGGAGTGTCAGTAAAATTTTGAAATTCCACAAAGTCTCTTTGTCGTTGGCTACTGTGAGAGAAGTATGAAAAAACATCTTTGACAAACAACTCTATAGAACGAGGTAATTTTTTGCATGCATAACTCACTGAAAGGTTTGTTGAGTGGCAAATACATTTGAAAAAAATGCAGTTTGGGTTAACTTCCCTAATTTTAGATACCACGCTACTCCTTTCGCCGAACATTACATTCGTGGTATCAGCAGCGAACCCTATTAAATTGGCTATAATAAGGTTTTTTTCAGATAAGGCACATGTTAAACTATCAAACAAATCTTGCGCAGTATCACCTTTTAAGTCCACCGTACACAAAAATTTTGTTTGTGGAGATTGCAATTTTTCAGAGTAGTACTTTACTGCTACTGCAAGTACCTTGGTAGTACTGACATCTGTGCTCTCGTCGATAATGAGCGAAAATACTGGGCTTCTCTCAGTTTCATTTTCTGGTCTTGGACGTAATTCTGCAAGCATTTTTTCCTCGAAGTTATTGCCTAAGACGTTGTAGGCAATTGCGGCAGATTTAGTTCTTCTACAGGAAAAACGTTTTGCGATTTCGGAGTCGTGAAATGCCCTTGAAATAACTTCGCTTACATGATCCATTACGCGAAAAGGAATATTATGTTCAACTAAGGCAGCTACAATGCTGATTTCTGCTTTTTTTACTTCTTCCGAAATGGTTGATGTTTCGAAAATCGTATCAATCTGTAACCAAAGAAGTTAAAAATAATTATACAGGACATTTCATATAGCGCTATGTAGTATCAAATACTAAGCAATTTTTACATAGCATTTAACATGAATAAACACACACATAGTTGTATAGTAATTGTTATGTAAATGCGTAGGTAATAAACGTACATAAAACAGCGAATGTTTGAATTTTGAATGAAAATAAAATTTATGAACTTTAAAACATAATACGGGTTCACACTACTGCGTAAGTTGAAAGTATTAAAAAAAATCTTAACAAGAATAATTAACTAAGAATTACATTCCACATATTAACGTAAGTAACTTGCATACCTGAGAAATGCCGGAATATCCTTTCATATTTTTTATATGCTTTGATGTGGCCATGTGTTCTTTCAAAGACGCCACTCTACTTAGTACTTCACAGTTGCATGCTTTACAATGAGCACTCGTAGTGTTTACCTTAGATTTACATAACCAACTTTTAAATGAAGGATCTTGCTCTCATTTATCGCGATATCCTTGTGTATATTTACGTTTCATTTTAAACTCGATTATAAAAATTCTCAATAAAGTAATTCCTACTAGTCTATCACACTCTATGCTTAGAAAATGACTAATAAAATTGTGTTGTCTAGTCTATCATTATAGAAGCAACTTTAAAATGATCTAAGTTGAAAGACCTATTTTACAAAAATAGCCTTTATCTATTGGAAAATGAAATTCAATTTGCTATGCCCACAGTACCGTTCATTCAATAATAAGGGAATCCCCCAAATCACTTTCGTGTGCTGCCAACTGTAAAATTAAAACTTTATGGACGTGGATGCTTGGTTTTAAACCTAATATTTTTGACAGAGAATTAATACCAAAACCTACCGATGTGTTTCTCATTTCTACTAAATTCTACTAAGACATTTTATCCTACTAGATTATCATCTTATTTGCTTCAAATCTACTAAAAAAAGTAGAAATCTACTAAAAATGGTCACGCTGCTGGCAACTGACGTTTTCAGATTTAGTTACCGTTCAGCGCCCTCTTAACGCCAAGCAATGAACTAAAAAAATATA